AGATTCATCCAAAGCTGAACTAGCACACATCTAAGGTGTCTGTCAATCTAGGCTCCACAAGAAGAACAGTAAAAAGCAGGGACAGAAAAGGGAGGCATGTAAGAAATAATTATAAAAAATTTAAAAAGTGTTTCTTGTGTTTATATAGTCACCTTGCAGTCTCCTGACAGATTACTGGTCAAGCAAATTAGGAATTCAGTTTCCACACACAAACAAGAACCCCCTGTAATGCTTCACCATCTTAAGTGTCTTCTGCTGGTCACACCCTGGAACATCCTCCATGATGTACCTCAGTTGGACTAAGGAGAAAATAGAAGCTTGGTACAAAATGAATTAAATGGCACAGTTATTCCAACTGTTTTGCTTAAAATATAAATTCCAAAGGAGGCTGTGAAAAAGCAAGATAGAATAAAGCCCTAAACCAGTCATTACATACTTCATTAATTGTATAAAAGTGCAAGATTAAAGTAGTTCAGGTTAAGCATTCAGTTCACTATAGGCCACACAAATGCTTAGCTTGGCCATCAATGGCCTGGTTTTGTCATTCAGTTACTAATATTAGTTTAAACCACAGAAAGAACAACAACTGAATGAAAAACATATGCAATCCACTTCAAAAATGGTTAGTTTTCTGTGACCAGCACGAAATATTAGCTCAGTATCATCAGCTATACAATATATACATAAAAATATTGTGTCTTAATCTTTGTTTTAACAACTTAGAATAAAGCTGTACTAAACATTATTCCCCTAGTGTGTCAACTCTTTGTTCTGTTCTGGCCAGCTGGCCTAGTAACACACAGAAGTCCTTTTACAGCACTGGTACTTGAATTGATCCTTAGTTTTGACACTTCAGCCATAATAACTGTTGAATTGCTTTTTTCAGCCAGGCTGGGTGATCGCATGCGACTGCCTAGGTCTCAGTCAAAGCTTCTTGGGTGGCTCCACAAGAAGAACAGGCCATATTCCAAAAACAAACTGTTAAAAGAAAAAAAAAACAAAACAAAAACAGGAAGAGGGAAAAAGATTTCCTGGAATATTATGTCTCTTGGAATAAAAACCAAATACTGCTAACCATCATTTCAACTGCATTTCTTGGGTTGGAAGTAGAAAACAAAGATAATAACCCTAACAGGAATAATCAGTGAGCCCCAATGCAAGTTCAAAGCACCAGATATCCAAATGCTTCAGTGTATTAATGGACACAAAATATTGCTTGCTTACCTTCACCTTTGGCCTGTGTTTCAGGAAAAGCGTCCTTGTGTACAAACTGAGGAAAAGGAGACAAGTGTGCTTAAAAATTCATGTATAAGACAGCATATAAAATAATAATGATGTACTAATCCCAGTTTTATATTCCAACTAGAAAAGAATTGCTTCTGTGATTGCAGAGCTATCCATTCTGCCTAGATTTATGAAAAACAGGAGACATTAGCCTACAATAAATCCCTCTGTGCTAGACTATGATGTGCAAACTAATCTACCCTATCACCTATGTGGGGAGAAAGACAGAAACCCAGAGAAGTAAATGCTCTCTCCACTATGGAAAAGACTAAAACCTGTCATTTTCAAAGGACGAAATTAAATCAGGGTGCCACAAAATACAGCAGATGTTAAAGGGGGGTGGGGAAGCAGCGTAGCTTGATTCTGTATCTCATTTCTGTTCTTAAGAAACCTTCTCCCCTCAGCAGATGTTTTCCTGTGTATGACCTCACTTTTTTTTAAGCAGACATAGGTGACAGAATCATAGAATCATAGAATGGTTAGGGTTGGAAGGGACCTTAAAGATCATCCAGTTCCAACCCCCCTGCCATCAGCAGGGACACCTTCCACTAGACCACGTTGCTCAAAGCCTCATCCAGCCTGGCCTTCAACACTTCCAGGGAGGAGCAGCCACAACTTCCTTGGGCAACCTCTTCCAGTGTCTGACCACCCTCACAGTGAAGAACTTCTTCCTAATATCTCATCTAAACCTCCCCTCTTTCAGTTTAAACCCATTTCCCCTTGTTTTGTCATTAACTGCCCTTATGAAAAGTCCCTCCCCAGCTTTCTTGTAGCCCCTTCAGGTACTGGGAGGCCGCTATAAGATCTCCCTGGAGCCTTCTCTTCTCCAGGCTGAACAGCCCCAACTCTCTCAGCCTGTCCTTATAGGAGAGGTGCTCCAGCCCTCGGATCATCCTGGTGGCCCTGACGCCACTGTGTAGCTAAGGAAATAATACTAGGGAAACTACTGCAGGGAAAGTAGTTCATTGAGGCAGGACAGACAAATCAGGCATCTGCACATTCCCCAAGGCTAGAGGACACAAACTCAAATTATTTTCTCTGTGCAGCATGCTGGAAAATCCTTGCCTCTGCTATCCAAGCTGACTGCATCAGTAAGGAATATTCTTCAAAAGATATTTCAAGCTGTTTAAGGCAGCAGAGAACCTGTCAGCTGAAATGGAGCAGCTGTTTTCCACACACCATGATATATTTTATGTACATATATATATATATATAGGTATATTTTTTTTTTTGAGGGTGGTCAGACACTGGAACAAGTTGCCCAAGGAACTTGTGGATGCCCCCTCCCTGGAAGTGTTGAAGGCCAGGTTGGATGAGGCTTTGAGCAACCTGGTCTAGTGGAAGGTGTCCCTGCTGCTGGCAGGGGGGTTGGAACTGGATGATCTTTAACGTCCCTTCCAACCCAAACTGTTCTATGTTTCTATGATTTTTACATATACATATATATATATATACACACACACAAGTACATATAGGCACACATCCAGATATACATACACACATATATGTATATATATTAAAAAAGCTATCAGAACAGCTACTGGAAATGTACTTATTTTCCTTGCATTTTCTTTTTACTAGCTATTTTAACATCTGACAAAAAAAAGGAGAATACTGTGTTAGACACAGAAAAACTGATCAGTTTTTCTCAACTACATAGAATGTATCTGGTAAACAGACATTCTCTTCTGGTTAAATGGTAAAAAACATTATTTAATTACATAATAAACTACAGAAATTGTTGATTCCAGTTTAAATTCTACTTTTGTTCCTGGTTCCACTAGATGGTGGTATAGAGTAAAAACAGAGATAAAAAAAAAATCTGCTGGCTGCAGACTTGCTAACTTAGGTTCTCATTTAAGTCTCCTTCTAAACTAATATCCTGCCCTTCTGGGAACAGCTCTGCTCCAACCCTTCTGCTCTACAGCATGATGCCTGCTAGTATTCAGGAGCAACAGTGCCTATCAAAAAGATTAGTTATGCTTCTAAAATTAAACATGTTTAAGTACTTCAGGATTGCTGCTCAGGACCAGAAAAGTATTAATAACTTATATTTTCAAATTAATAAACTGTCAAATAGTTTTTGCAGTACAACTGCTACAGGGTTCCCATTTTTGAATTGCATTTTCCTGAAGAACCATGAGTGTTTAAAAATTAATGATTACATTTTGTAGAATATAAATTACAGAGTTTTTAGATTAGTTGCAAAGAGGAAAAAAAAACCTCCCTCCAGTTTAATAAGAAGTAATTTTTCTCCTCTTCTGGCTATTTTGAAGTAAATCTGAAGCTGGAAAAACTCCTAAAACTGCTTTATGAACATCCAATTTAGAAAATACTTCCTACCTTAGGAGGATATGAAGGTAAGAACCCAGGCCTGTAAGAATATGCCACCATGCATGAAACTGTGTCACAGCTCCCACAACAGGAGGCATCTTCTCTCGTAGTGCTCTGGAAGAAAGACACATCATGCAATGTTTTTTGGTTTGTTTGTTTGTTTTTCTCCAAGCTAAGCAATCTCAAATCACAGTGCTTGATTATCAGATCACACATTAGTGCTTCTGTATTTCATGCATGTGCTTCACGAGCCAGGTTTCATGTAGTCAGGCTTTCAGCAGGTGAGGAACAGTGGTTACATCTTATACTGTGTCCTGGTTTGTACCTAGAACAGAGCTGAGTTTCTTTTTAGTAGCTAGAATAGTGCTGTGTTTTGCTTTCAGCCTGGAATTTATTAGGAGAGAAACGCTGAGAACATCCCAGTGTTTTCATTTTTGTTGCTGGAAGTGAAGGACTTTGTCTTTGTCCGTCCACAAGTGCAAGATCTAAGAGGGGTGAGGAATATTGTAATTAATGAGCTCAGTGGGCACTGGGCTCTGCCAAGGGGCTGTTCCATCTCCTGTCCCCCATGGGCAGGAGATCCATGAGGGGCTCTTCCTCTCTTGCTCTCTCTGGCTTTGGCTCGGGCTCTGGCTCTCCCGGGATTGCGGTTTCGGGTCGGGATTGTCGCTCCTCCGGGATCGTGATCTGGGAATGGGCCGGGCTTGGTCAGCGGGTGGTGAGCAATGGCACTGGGTGTCACTCGTTGGCATATTTTACTACTATTATTACCATCATTACTATTTTAATATCATTATTATTTTAAATTTTATTTCATTTATTAAATTGTTCTTATCTCAACCTACAAGTCTCCTTACCCCCAATTCTCTCCCCTATCCCCTGGGGGTGGGAAGGACTAAGTGAGTGGCTGTGTTCCCAGTGCTAGTCAAGTGAAACCCCCACATAACACCAGTATAGAAACATATTAGCAAACTGACTTTCTTACACATTTAAAGAAAGCACACACTTCTTCATACAATGAGTGATCAGCTACTTCTGAACTCAAATTTCAGGTAATAATATTCATGGCATCCTACGGTCCCAAATGAGTTCTACCATTCTCCTCCTCAAAACCCCGTGAAGTACTGTCCATAGGAAGAAATGTTGAGTTTAAAGTCTGAGACAGGAAATGGGATCCATCAGGTATCATGACTTTACATTTGGCAATCACACCACCTATTCTCCAGCTCCATGGAAGCTTAGCTTGCCTTCCTCTGGTGTACTCCAAAACAGGGACAAAAAGGGTGTTTAGTGAGGAAGCAATGAAAGTTGAGAGCCTGAAATACTCCCCCAACATGCTTTGTGTTTTGCAGGGTTATGGAGTGTGAGCTACTTGGGAAGAGTTTAAGGGATGAAAATAGAGAAAGAAAGGGAAGGAACTACATTGCCCTGATTTCTCCTGCTCATTAGGCTTCTGCAGATAATGCCTATTTTGGTTGATGGTAGAGCAAATGTTTGCATCTGCCTGTCTTCTTTTTTGACTTTCATTTCACATTCAGTCAAAATAAAAAAGGGAAAACAATGATCGCAGGTGTTAAGGGAAAAAAAAAATCTGCATTTTCTGTAATACATATTTACTGCTTGATGTTATAGTGCTCAGTCTCCCTGACTAAATGCTAATCCCTGAGCTACTGCTTAGTTTCCAGAGCTGCTCAGTCACAAATATGAACACAGAGCTTCGATTCAGTCAGCCAGGGAATGACATAGTGGAACACACAGACTGTCACCCTGCCACAGCCTCTGAACTTTTAGATAGCAGGAAATCTCAGAGTTCAAGTTCAAAAGTGCATGGATCCAACCAGGGAATTTGAATGCTACAGATCTTTTTATCATTTATTTATTTATTTTTAATTCAGCTCCAAATTTAATGAAATATGGAAAAAGAAAAATTGAACCAAAATATATTTTTGAACATTAAAACCAAAAAGAGCAGGTAGGTGGATGATTCACAAGTTCTTTAGAGAATAAAAAATTACAAGGAACTGGAATATATTTTCTCCAAAATTTTGAATTACAATTCACTCAGAAAAATTCAAGATTCTGCAGGCATCTGATTAAAGGTAGTAAACAAGTGTATTTCTTTTTTTTCCAGCACCATAACCATACAAGTATTACAGGAAATATACTAACTTTTTTTTTTTTTCCCTTTGCAAAATACAGATGGAAAAAAGTGCTTCAGCAGCTGGTGTTATCTTTGAGCCTAGAAACAAGTCCAAAAGCCCCAAGGACCTGCAGCAGCTCAGCAGGTTTAGTGAATCGGGGGTTATGATCTCACCAGTGATGTGATGCAGCTGCAAAAATCCACCCTGATGCCAATATTGGCAAAGTCACTGTACACGCACTTGTGCTGGCAAATAACTTCTCTGTGCCATCTGTATCAAGTGTTTCTAGGGATGAGGCACTGTGGATTATAGTCAGTACATCTATATTTTCAAAAAAAAAAAGTTTCAAGAAAACTCTGTTGGAGTTAACTTTCAATTGGGCAAGGACTTAGTGTAAGGACTACAGAGCCAAAAGGGACAGATGGAAAGTAGTAGATTCCTTCATAGCACACCATGATCCCACCCTGACAAAGCAACCTACTAGGAGGTGGAGGTTGGCCATGAGGAAAAGGTTCTTGAGGCAGAGGGTGGTGGAGCACTGGAACAGGCTCCCCAGGGAGGTGCTCATGGCACCAAGCCTGACAAGATTCCAGCAGCATTTGGCCAAGGCCCTCAGGGACATGGTGTGAATGTTGGGCTTGTCCTGTGCAGGGACAGGAGTTGGACTCGATGATCCTTGTGGGTCCTTCCGACTCACAACATTCTGTGATTCTAAGACAATTCTGTACACCACAGATTCTGTGGCATAACAGTATATTAGACAGTCAAGAATGGATTTCCTGGATGGTGGCATCAAGCTTTCCATCTCCTCCAGCCTGTGGTGGAACACAGGCATCACAACTAAGCAAAAGCAAGGTGCAGTTGTCCACTTCCAGAAGAACACACATTAGGAGACCAACCTGTTGGACTGGTGTTCTTTCTTGCACAGATGGGCCATATGATGAGATGGTGGGCTCCTACAAGCTTTGACTGGAAGCCTTTTTTACCTCATTTGGCAACACACCAAACAGAGAGGAAGTCTTTCCTGGCCTCCTCTACAAGTGCTAAGCCAGAAGACTTCAGGCTAATAGTGACAGCCAAGCACAGTGTATTGGCTCACAGAGTTACTGTTCTTTCTGAGATGCTCAAACAGCTGTTGTTTATTGATGACAGATATATTGCAATAGATATTTCTTTAACCTGAAAAACTACTGCTTTTGATATTTTCCTGGGAAATGGCAAGAGCAGAAACTAAAAAAAGCAAGATAAAAAACTCATTCAGATGAAATCAAGTGTGAATAGCAGGCTTTGGTAAGCTGCAGATCCTCAAAATTACTTCAGTGGCATTACTTTCTCTCAATTTAAATTGAGGTTAAAGAGAAATATCAATTATTTTAAAAATAAATCCATTAATGGATTTAAAAAAACCATTAAAAACTGCTGAGTGCTGAATCTAGTCATGAGCAAAGTGGATAAAAACCTTGTGAATGTTTTGTACGCAGTGCACCATACATACCATGAGATGGACTTGAATATACACCACAGAAAAAAACCAAAGCTTTATGCTAAAAGACTATTAAGAGTCACCCAGACAAAGTCAAAGAACTCACCTCAATTTATCACAGAAAATGTTGTCCACATTCCAGAGAAAAAATCCCATTAAAAATACAGTTAAAGATGTATAGCCTAGACCTCTAAGCCAGGGGTATACCCTAGAAAGACAGAGAGAAAGAGAAATAATGTAAAGTTCAGTTCAAGATCTTTAAAGGTAGCTTTTATGTAACATACATAAATACTTTTACATACAAATAAACTGCTTTATTATATTTTTTTTTCCCAAAAGGAAAAACATTGACTTCAAAACTCATCTATTTAAGTACTGTATTTTACCTTCTCTCCTGCATTCACATTCTCTGAGATTGGTCTTTTTAAATGTTTTACTTCTGTAATTCTAATTGTTCCCCTAAGTACTGCTCCCTCCTAATGCAACGGGTAAGTGGGAAAATTGAAGTTGGCTAAAAGATACTAGTTCTTCATTCCTGGTCTAGTGGAAGGTGTCCCTGCTGCTGGCAGGGGGGTTGGAACTAGATGAGCTTTAAGGTCCCTTCCAATACTAACCATTCTGATTCCCATGTATAATCTTTCAGTTAAAAAATAGTCATGTTACAAATTAGGACTCTCCTAAAAGAAGAGGCTCTTTTCCAACACATGATATCCCTACCCTAGGGGACCTGTTTAATTTCAATATGACTGTAGTCTTTTGTGGACATAGACCAATGTGACCAACAACTAACCAAGTGAATGAATGGTTTTAGAAAACAGTAATTTCATGTTGAATTTTATAGGGATGGAAAAACGACAGTTTCATTTTGGGAGAAAAAAAAAATCTCTTTTAGGATATGGAAGACATATTGAAAAATCAGATGCAATTAAATAAATCATTAACAAATTTAACCTCACTATCCTCATTCAGGTTGGACTATGGAATTGTAAACTTCATGGGAATTGGTAGCATTTGCTTCTTTCCCACTAATAAGACAATCCCAAAAGCAAAACTCAATTCCAAACCTAAGAGGCTGCCATGAAATACTGCTCCAGTTATTTTTAAGCATTATAAATGCACAGTTTAGATTCTGGGTTAAAACACATTCTTGAGCTGCTTTTTCTCCACTGTGTTATACACAACGTGTGTTCAAGAGCTGTGAGCACTGGCATCCAAGCTAACCAGATACAAGTTGTACATGTCCACAACAAGTGTACTGCCAATATCAACTAGCAAAATTCTTATTTATTTAGTCTAATAAATGCATGGAGAACCAGGTGGTACATGGCAGACACTACACTGTGATATTCCTAACCCAGTGCTCTAGAGACATAAGCAAGCCCAGGACATGGAAGAACACTAAATGGTGTGTTATACCTGCTGGTAATTAGGTAATTATAGCTAAAATTGTTCAGGGAATAAATGGTGGTGTTTTATGAAAGCATGAGAGAGAGGCTGGCATCACTTATTAATGTGGAACATGCTTTGTGGACAACAATATTTGCCAAGTTGTAACCTTGGGAAGGAAGCAGACCCAAGAAAGAGGTGAAAAGTGTGGGGGAAACAGGCAGGAGCAGCAATAACTGAGAATAGGAGGAGGGAGCAGCCTGGAAGGAATAACACCCTGTTCTTTGAGATTTTTACTCTAAACTCAGAGTGACTTCACAGAATCACAGCGTGGTGGGGGTTGGAAGGGACCTCAGGAGATCATCCAGTCCAACCCCCCTGCCAAAGCAGATTCACCTAGAGCAGGTTGCACAGGAAAGTGTCCAGGTGGGTTTTGAACATCTCCAGAGATGGAGACTCCACACCCTCTCTGGGCAGCCTGTCCTAGGGCTCTGGCACCCTCACAGTGGAGAAGTTTTTCTACATCTTCAGAGGGAACTTCCTGTGCTCCAGTTTGTGCCCATTGCCCCTTGTCCTGTCACTGGCCACCACTGAAAAGTTGACTTTACGCCCTGCACTAAGAAATCTGAGTGACAGGAAGCTAATACATATTAAGGAAGTAAGAAACAAAATAAGCAGAAAACAGGGTCAATATCTAAGTTAAAACAGGGTCAATACATAAGCTGAAACAGCCTTGGACAAGTGCTAGTGCTGTCAATGGAAAGACAGGGATATGTAGCAACGCAGAGGAAATAAACCCAGAAGTGTACTTGGGGATGACTTTTTGAGAAAACAAAGGGGACCTTAAGGTTGGCACAGCTTCTCTAGCAGAACTACTTTAAAATTAGTAGTAGCTTAGTTAAAATTTAGTAGTTTAAACCTACTTCTCTCTCCATCCCAACCTACTAACCAGTTTGCACAAAATAACCAAAGGGGGAAGCAAGTCTTTGTAGGGACACATTGCAATGAAGTGATCTAGTTAATTAAGAAAATAAACTCCAAACCCCTAAAACTGAAGCGAAAAAGTAGGTGGAACTTCAAAGACAGACTTTGTTGGAGGAAAGCAATCAATGATACCCTGGGAAGGAGGGGAGGGGGGGATGGTGGTGTTATTGATAGTGACAGAAGACAATGAAATGCTTCAGAAATAATGAGAATGCACAAGGGTGTGGAATTTGCAGAACAGGAAAGATAACAGGCCCAAGGGTTTGTCTGTACAGACAGAAAGAAATTTAATCTACGTGACTAGAAGTGTGCTAAATCCTTGTAAAAGGATAAAATTTAAATGATCTGAGCTTGATTCAACTTAATTTCCCTTGAAAGTGAATTAAGGTAACATCACTTAAGATCTCTAGGTTAGGATTAAAATTTCCATGATCAAAAAATGCCTTTAAATTGACGATTGTTTCTAAAGCTGCAATCAACACGCTACCAGTTTTAAGTTCTTCTTGCTTAATAAAAGTCTGTGAACATTTACACTCGGTCTGTGGGGATTTCTTGGGGAAAGTGAAAACAAATCAACTGAAATTGCATTTGGAAGGTGATTCAATGAATCCACTTTAAATTCACACCTTGTGTTAAATTCTTCCTTGTGTTCTTGAACAGATACGTGTGTAACTTGAAATACAAGTTAAAGCAACAGCATATTCAGGATGAAGACAGGAGAGAGAAATCAGGAATTTTGAAGGGCAATCCCCAAACACATGAAAAGACCAACTAATCATGGGAGAGAGACAGGAAGGGGCAACCAACTGAGCTCCTGAGAGCTAAAGGTTCACTAAAATACTGATTCAATTCCTTTTTATTCACTTTTACTCACCAAGTCTGTGCTCTGATGACTCTAATGCTTCTCAATGTCTCCTAATATTTCTAATACCTTTTTTTTTTGTTATAAATTATTTTTATTTCAATTTCCATAACACATACCTAACTTTACCTAGTCAAAACTGTAACATTTAACCTTTTGTGTATTATCTTTTACATTTGAATTTTACTTGAGTAGGGAAGAGGAAAGGAAAATATTAACCAATGGTTCAGCTTTGCAGTCTTACTCTCACCTCTCTCCAAGTATCATCATTAGAGTTTGGACACTGGTAATAGATTTCACATTCCTCAGCAATATTAAGATAGAAACCACATTTCACTTGAAGTCCCAGGCTAAGAGTTGAAGCCACTAGCAGAACACCTGGCAGTGAACACTGATCATAAGCATAGACATCTCAGTTTTGTTTAATATTATCCCAGTTTCTTCCAAAAAAAAATCAAGGAAATGAGCCATTCCCTTCCAACCAAGCAGAGCACATGAGTTAACATTAAATACCTAGGTAAAGAAATCTTGCCATTCCCCATTTCTCATGTTAAGGCCACCAAAACCAGATGCAAATACTAAGTTATATCTTACAATGCTGAATTATACGGTTACTTACCATAATACTATATAAACAGATCGTAGAACTATAATGGAAACTAGTGTTCCATACATGATCTGGAAAAAAAACACCAAAAACAGAAATAAAATTCAGCTGTTGGATTCAAGAAACTTTATAAAAAACTACAGGAGTAAAAACTGTTTGAAGCCTCCGTTGTTTTTTATTTCTTAGTCTCAGGAAAATAGTATCCCTTATAGTTTCCTTTCCAGAAAGTCTTCCATAAAAGTTTCAAATAAAAGTATGATTATAAACCATGCCCTTTATGCAATTACAGGAAAAGGCAGTTGTCTAAAACCGCTGTTTCACTTCTTTTGAATCAGAAAGCAAACACTAGATGGCACTCGGTAAGCATCCTGAAATCAAAATGGTAACTAACTCCTATCATCTCTTCTGCATCTGTGGATTTTAGCCCAGGATTGCATAAGCATCAGCTAAAACCCCTTTTGAAATCTATGCTTCCTTCACTGCTGTTTGATTAATCACTTTTCCTGAAAGCAAACACCTGAATAGACTATGTACTATGCCCACACTGAGCACCAGTATGGAAGAAACTTTTCCAGGAAGCATTTAAAACCAGTTATTACAGATTGTTGGGATTCAATTTAATTATACAGTGGGAAGGCTGCATGCTCTGAGAAGATCCATGAGCAAAATCTGGCTCACTGTAGGCTTGTTGAATTTGAATGTAATCACCTGAATTACATAAAATAAGTCAAAGTAATCATTTATTTTCTGCCTCGTGATTGTCCCTGTTGCTGGCAGGGGGGTTGGAACTGGATGATCTTTAAGGTCCCTTCCAATCCAAACCATTCTATGATTCTATGATTGTATATCACTCTCCATTCTTTTTTAATTTACAACCTTAGGATTCACATAACACCATCTCCAAGACATACAGACTAAAGAAGAGAAGAAATGTGGTCAGTCATGCCTGAAAAGTGATGCTGAAGTCACTGTAAAAGGAGGGACTTTCAGACACTGCTGACATTCAATTACTCTCCATGCTTTTTATCCTGAACACTGCTTTCCTCCTGCGAAAAGGCAGCTTGTTCCAAGGCGCCATGCCTTGCTCTTTGCCCCTCTTCAGTGGCCCACAAGCCCCTTGCTATTTTTTGCCTCCCTGTTCACTGACTTTCCTTTCTCACTTGGCTTTTAGTTAACTCCTATCGAATGCTGCCTTGTTTTAACATGAAACAGAAAAATAATAAACCTTTCCTGCCTATTTTTAAAAGCCACTAAAACCTCACAGAGATGTGTTTACAAACCAGTGTCCTTACCATGTTCTACTGACCTCCTCAGACCTTTCCTTCTTTCAGACAACATTGTCTTCAAGGCAAGGACTACCTCTTACTGCTGTAACTGGGGCATTCAGCTATTACTATCCTACAAGAATATGCACGTGTCTAGTCATCTGACATAAAATAAGTTGCTGTAATAACACAAAGTGAAATCTACCTTTCAAAAATTCCATAAAGGCAAATTTTCCAACTCCATTCAGCTTTAAGGATGAGGTTAGCAGCCCACACAATATGATCAGTGTGTATACACAGAACGAGACAGACAACAGAGCCCTTATGTTTGACAACAGGTAAAAATAAACTCCAATATTGACTATGCAAAGTCATTCAGCACAGCAGCTCTTTATTTGCTTTCAAAGTGAGATCAAATAACTTCAGGAACTAAACTACTTCTACTACTGTGTGTTCTGCTCTGTAAAGCTAAACAAAGCAAAACTATTTGAAAAGCTAATTGGTTTTGGCTTGTATTTCAAAAAAATCCCTGTTGGCTAATTCCAGTTCCCTTTGCTGAGGTACAGCACATAAATGGGGGGAAAAAAACCCCCTCAAACCCAACCAAACCCACTAGACACAGCCTGAGTATCAAGTGCTTATCAGTCCCAAGCTAATGGTAGAAAGGGGACTGCTCAGGTGTGCTAGGTGCTGCATGCTTCATCACTGATATTTTGCCTAAAAAGACCTAATTGTCTAACAGATTAAATTTAAAAGTTAAATGCTGTTTTACTTAATCAATCTCATTTAAAACAACCTGTTTTGTTTTCCTAATAAAATCCTGTAATTTATTCTAAGAGATGGATGGCACAGAGGAAGAAACTCATAGAAAGACTGTTCTGGAACTCAAAGCACAGTTTGATGACCTTTCCTTGGTAATCTTCTCCTTCCTACAATTTCCATTGCTAAAATACACTTATAGAATGGTTTGGGTTGGAAGGGACCTTAAAGATCATCTAGTTCCAACCCCCCACTTCTGCAGCAGAATCACAGGAAAAAAAACTTACCCATGAAGAAAAATTTCTATCATACTTGTTAGGGGTGTGACCACCTTCATGCTTTTAGCCAATTTACTCTCGAGTTTTGTACAAGGAGTTAAATAGTGTCACACTATGCCTAGAGAAACGTGGCTTATAGGCAGCCCAAAGCCCAGGTAAAACACAGGCTAAAAATGCTATTTTTTTTTGCAGCAACTGCTAAAAGCAGTAAAGAGCAAAAGCTACAAAAAGGTTTCTTTGTAGAGCCTCTGGCTTGGTATCTCCTAGTGAGTTGCTGAATGGCTTGTAGAAAAGGACAGTCTTAATGGAGTGAGGAAGGGGGGGAAAAAAAAACCCCAACAAACCTCAAGAACCTTGCAGTGAGTGAAGAAAAATATGCCCACAGTTGACACTTCAATTTCTTGCCTTTTCCGCTCCCCCACACAAATAGGTTGTTAGCAGTAAAACACATTTGTGTTTAAAAGCCTGTGAAAGGCTGGAACAACAAACTGTTCTGCTCTGCGTGCTCCAATCCTCCTCTTCACGCTGAAGGCAAGCGTCGAGGTGTTGCTGTGATATGTAGAGACTGTAGCTGCACGTATAGCTACAGCTGTTTCTTACTAGAGGTCTATAAACTGAGTTATACAATTTAGTTTATACTTTAGAGAGCAGTGCTTACTTCTACTCCTTTACCACCCATGGATTTAATATTTTCATCATGTCAAAAATTTGACAGGTATTATTGGTCCACCAAAGAAGGATAAAGTGTGTGTGTATAAATATATATATATAAATAAATCTACCTTATTCAAGTTTAAAAATCTACCTTATTCAAATTTCTCAATTCCTTTAGCTCCCTTTGTTCTTCTTCTTTAACTAACACATCACTTAAGTGACAGATGAAAACTCAGAGCAAGTTTTGTGCTATTTTGTCTCACAACGCCTTTAAGTTGTAAGCCAAAGAGCACCCTTGCACTACAACTGAAACAAAAGGAAACAGCAGAATCTCACATTCTTTTGTTATCACTAGAAAGTTCCCTCTTTACTGCTTGAGATGCAAATGAAGCTGCATGTATTTCAGCTTTGGAACCTCTATCTTTACAATGGAGAAAAACTCGAGTGTTTTATTAATACGCAGTGGATTACCTGATGACAGGGCCAAATCATAGAATCACAGACTGGTTTGGGTTGGAAGGGACCTTAAAGATCATCCAGTTCCAAACCCCCTGCCAGCAGCAGGAACACCTTCCACTAGATCAGGTTGCTCAAAGCCTCATCCAGCCTGGCCTTCAACACTTCCAGGGAGGGGGCATCCACAACTTCCTTGGGCAACCTGTTCCAGTGTCTGACCACCCTCACAGTGAAGAACTTCTTCCTAATATCTCATCTAAACCTCCCCTCTTTCAGCTTAAACCCATTTCCCCTTGTTTTGTCATTAACTGCCCTTAGGAAAAGTCCTTCCCCAGCTTTCTTGTAGCCCCTTCAGGTACTGGGAGGCCGCTATAAGATCTCCCCGGAGCCTTCTCTTCTCCAGGCTGAACAGCCCCAACTCTTTCAGCTATTTAATCTAATTTTCTATTTACCTTTTAATTATTGGTTTGCTCAAAATTTGCTTCCAACTCTTGCAGCAGATGACTACAGTTTTTTTAAAATCTATTTCATTATTCACATAACTTGGCCCACTAGCTGAACGAGGTTTTTTGATTGCTACAAGTGTACAGCCAGCATATGGTATTGTAGCAAGAAAACAAATCAGGATGGAAAACAATGCTGTGTAGGTGACAGCTTTCTAGGCCATATCATACTACAAGGCCACCTGTTAAGACCTGAGTCTAAAAGTTTAACTGCCAGATTAATTTTTTTCTCCTTCCAGGTCTGTCTTATATTTGTGTGTCTATGGATCACTCCAGATCAGCAGCCAATCTTCCCCCACTCCTTTCCTTGTATAAACACAAACATCCATGCAGTAAACAGGGATGAGCAACTAATCTGATTTAAACCTAATTCCAAGGACAGTTTTAACCTGTTGAGTTCATCAATCAGAGAGTAAATTTGTGTGCCAGATGGGAAAGAGCAGAGAGGTGTAACTGTTTTCTTTGACAATGATGCTGGTTTAAAAAATAAATAGGAAACTGGGACGTAGGGTTGTTTAGTACCATAGAAATTAGGTACTAGTAGTGCTCTAGCATGAGAGATTTTGACATAAACAAGACAATACATGCTTGTAAAGGCCACTGCTATCTTTTTTAAGATCATAGAATCACAGAATGGTTTGGG